CCAATCCTGGGCTTGGCCTAGGTGCTGTCCTTAAGCTCCTTTTACTCAAGGCTAACACCCTAACATGAGCCACAGCTCCACTTCCAGCTTTTCCTGTGATTAATTGGAGATAAGAGTCTCATGAACTTTCCTGCCTGGGCTGGCTTCCAACTGTGATCCTCAGATCTCAGCCTTCTAAGTAGCTTAGATAGCACTGGCTGAGTTTTTTAAGTTTAGTTTAGTTTTTATTTTTGTCAGTTGTGGGGCTTGAACTCAAGGCCTGGCACTGTCCCTGAGCACTTTTGCACAAGACTAGTGCTCTACCACTTTGAGCCACAGCTCTATTTCTGGTTTTCTGGTGGCCAACTGGAGACGAGTCTCCTGGACTTTCCTGCCTGGGCTGACTTCAAATCACCATCCTAATAGCCTCTAGAGTAGCTAGGATAACAGGCATGAGCCACTGGTGCCCAGCTTAATTTCTTAAAAAGTATAAGATCCCACTGGGGATTTTTCAGGTTCTAAGTAATGGTAGCACTGTCACTGGACACCATGTCTAGGGTGGGGGAGGGGACGGGAGGAGTCTGATGCATTATGATGTTGGAGCCAGTGACTCACTTTTCTATGGGAAGTTGTAAAGACTTTGTCTCTTCTAGAACTAATGGTATGTAATTGTCTAGAGACGATGAAGAGATGATTGTGCTAAGAGAGAATGGAAAGTGGGTGAGGAAGCCTAGGATATTTTATATCAGCAGGCTTTTCCCTGCTGGGACAAAGTATAGTGATTGGCATAGGTCCAGCTGAGCTCATTAAGTCCTCTGCTTTCTGTGAGATAAGACTGTTCAGCTGAGAAGTCTAAAAGAAATAAAGAGGAAACACTGAAGTGGCAGAACCCGGGATTTTAATGTAAGTTCTATTTGACTCTAATGTTTCTGATTCATCTCTCTTATCCTCCCTCTAACTCAGCATGGCCTTTTGGCAGTAATAACATTTGTAGTGCTTTCTTTTTTAAATTTAAGCCTTTTGAGTTGGGTGCTGGTAGCTCACAATTGTAATCCTAGTTATTCTGGAAACTGTGATCTGAGGATTGTGATTCAAAGCCAGCCGGGCAGAAAAGTCTGAGAGACTTATCTCCAATTAACCAGTAAAAAGCCAAAAGTGGAGGTAAGGCTTAAATGGTAGAACTCCAGAAAAAGCTAAGTGATAGTGTGAGTCCCTAAATTCAAGCCCCAGTACTAGCATGTGTGTGTGCATACACACACACACACACACACACACACACACACACAGCCTTTTTTGAATTTCATTACCTCACCTTTTTTTCTAAATGCTGTAATATGGAAAAAGTCAAGAAGGGATTAAAGTGAAGTGTTTGACTAATCAGAAACCTGGTGAAATGAAGTCTTTATTTAGGAGTTTGAAGGGTCAGGAAATCCCCATTTTCCCCATCATAGCTTCTAGTCTTAAGTTGCCAGAAGAAATTTTAATGACACCCTGAGACTTGTGGATTAAAGCTCAATTTTCTTCCTATCATCTTGGAGTAACAGCCTATTCTCCCTTTCCTGAACTTTTACTCTCCCTTCTTAAAAGTGGTTTCTTCTTCTAGATATTTAAATATTTTTCATTTTCTCATTTAAAAAAATTCTTGGTGGGGCACTGGTGGCTCATACCTGTTATCCTAGCTACTCAGGGGACTAAGATCTGAGGATTGTGGTTCAAAGCCAGTCCAGACAGGAAAGTCCACGAGACTCATCTCCAATGAACTACTAAAAAGTGGAGCTGTGGCTTATGTAGTAAATCACTAGCCTTGAGCAAAAAAAAAGCTCATAGACAGTGCCCAGGCCCTGAGTTTAAGCCCCAGGACCAACCCCCCCCCCCCACACACACACAAACACCTTTCCTTGCAAAATTCAATTATTTGGACTTCCATGAATGTGCTAGAAAAGTCTATGTAAGACTTTGGAAAGTGTTAAACTTGATTTGTAGTACAAATTGAGATAAAATAGTGACTCTTGCTGGGTAGAAGAGAAACACTTGGAAATGTTGAACCAGGTATAAGAATCCCAAAGAATTCCTACACATTGCTAAATGAATAAAGCGAAAAAATAAAAAATATTTTTAAAAAAAGAATCCCAAAGAAGGTCCTCCACACTATACAGTGTCCCCAATATAATAATTTCAGAAACTCAAAGTAAATATTTAGGAACATTTATGGAAATCATTGCTGTGCTAATACCAGGGATTGAACTCTTATTCTTTTGTTCATTTGTTTTTTTGTTCTTTGGTCATAGAGCTTGAACTCAAGGCCTGGGCACTATCCCTGAGCTTTTGGGCTTAAGTCTAGCATTCCACCACTTTGAGTCATAGCTCTAATTCTAGTATTTGGGTGGTAAATTAGAGATAAGTCTCACAGACTTTCTTACCCAGGCTGGCTTAGAACTGCAATCCTCAAATCTCAGCCTCCCGAGTGGCTAGGAATTCAGGCGTGAGGGCCCGGCTGACCTCATATTCTTGTTCAGCTTTTCCATCCACAGCTAGTGTTTTTATCACTTGAATCACATCTCCAGGTCTAACTTTTTTTGCTGGATAATTGGTGATAAAGTCACTCAAACTTTTCTGCCTGAGTTGTCGTTCAACTGCCATCCTTAGATCTTAGCCTCCTAAGTAGCTACAATTATAAGCATGAGCCACCAGTATCCATTTTCAGAAATTTTGCATTTTTTTTGTCTGCTGAGTTTAATAGTAAAAGTCCTACAGTTAAAAAATAATGCATTGACGGGCTGGGAAGGTGGCTCAGTGGTAGAGTGCTTGCCTTGCATGCATGAGGCCCTGGGTTCTATTCCTCAGCACCACATAAGCAAAAAGATAAAAAAAGCTGGAAGTGGCGCTGTGGCTCAAGTGGTAGAGTGCTAGCCTTGAGCTGAAGAGCTGAGGAACAGCACCCAGGTCCAGAGTTCAGGCCCCACGAACGGACACCCCCCCCCCAAAAAAAATGCATTGGGCTGGGAATGTGGCTTAGTGGTAGAGTGATTGCCTAGCATGCATGAAGCCTTAGGTTCGATTCCTCAGTACTACATAAACAGAAAAAGCTAGAAATGGCATTGTGGCTCAAGTGGTACAGTGCTAGCCTTGAGCAAAAGAAGCTGGACAGTGTCCAGGCCTTGAATACAAGCCCAGGACTGACAAAATAATAATAATAATAATAATGCATTTTTATGCTGTATCTACCTCTGTTCTTTTCTTGCTTTCTCTTTTCCTTTTCTCTCCCTCATTCCCAATCATTTGAAAGATACACTTATTTATGTAGACATGAAATCATTATCAAAGTCAAGATACAGAACATTACTAACACTGGAAAAAAGTTCACTGTTGCCCTTTCTAAAGTAATCTCCTAAATTGGACAGATGTCACCAATGATGTGTTATCTGTCTTTACAGGTTGGATTACTCTTTTTTTTGCCAGTCCTAAGGCTTGAACTCAGAGCCAGGGCACTGTCCCTGAGCTTCGTTTGCTCAAGGCTAGCACTCTACTACTTGAGCCACAGCACCACTTCTGGCTTTTTCTGTTTATGTTGTACTGAGGAATGGAACCCAGGGCCTCATGCATGCTAGGCAAGTACTCTACCACTAAGCCACATTCCCAGCCTGTGGATTACTATTTTCTAATTTCATATACATGGAATTAGATGGTGTAATAAACTCTGTTTGTCCTCTTTTTTGTTGTTATTGTTGGTTGTGGGGCTTGAACTCAGGGCCTGAGTGCTGTTCCTGAACTTTTTTGCTCACGGCTAGTACTCTACTTTGAGCCACTGGGCCACTTCCAGTTTTCTAGTGGTTAACTGGAGATAAGGGTCTCATGGACTTTCCTGCTCAGGCTGGCTTTGAACCACAATCCACAGATCTCAGCTAGGAGTAGCTAGGATTACAGGCATGAGCCACCAATGCTAAGCCTATGTCTGCTTTCCTGAACTCAGTATAATCTTTCTGATGTTCACCAATGTTATTGAAAAGATCTGCAGTCCATTTTTACTTAAAAAAAAAAAACAGGAATTTCTCTTGTTGATAAGTACTTCTGTTCTTCTTCTAACCTGTCCCATGGTTCCCTCTTTCTCAGTTCTAAAATCTAGCTAATATCACACGTTGGATTCATACTCTTACCTTATACGAATTCTATAACCCAAGATGTTTAAAAACTGGAAGACTACTAAGACATCAGATTCACCCAGACTCATTCCTACGCAGAAGGATTTGAAATTCCTCATAAACAATACACTGAGTAACGTAAAGGTATGAGAATATGAGAACTGTACTCATGATGGGCTTGGACTAATTACCAGGGGAGGCTTTGGCTTGGGCAAGATAGGAACAAGCTCTAGGAATTCCTCTGTGTGTGTGTGTGTGTGTGTGTGTGTGTGTGTGTGCATCCATTAGCTTTTTCACTCAAGGTTGATGTTCTACTACTTGATCCACAGCTTCTATCTTTTTGGTAGTTAATTGGAGATAAGAGTTGGATGGACTTTCTTGCCAGGGCTATCTTCAAACTGTAAGTCTCAGATCTCAGTCTCTTGAGTAGCTAAGATTACAGATATGAGCCAAAAGTGCCTAGCTCTCAATGTAGTCTTAAATCTTTTGTGGAGACAGGAGGCAGGCAAGATGGACATTATTAATAAAGAAGTATTAAAACTTCAGTTTATAGTCGGGCACTGGTGGCTCACGCCTGTAATACTCAATTCAAAGCCAGCTTGGGCATGAAAGTCCATGAGACTCTTATCTCCAATTAACCACCAGAAAAAAAACCAGAAGTGGTGCTGTGGCTCAAGTGGTAAAGCACTAGCCTTGAGCTGAAGAGCTGAGGGACCGTGCCCAGGCCAGAGTTCAAGCCCCACAACTGACAAAATAAATAAATAATACTTTAGTATATTACTTTCCTTCTTGGGTAATCAGAGCACATGTTCTCATGCAGAGAAATCTGGAGAGTTATATTCATGGAGTATTGTTTAGTAGATAAGTATAAAAGTTTCGGCTGAGGAGGAGGCTGCAATGCTTGGTAAGAAATGTACGCATTATCCTGCCCATGTAATTGTAACCCCTCTGTACAGTATGTTCACAAATAAAATAAAATTAAATTAAAAAAAAAGTTTCGGCTGAGAACTGGGCGCCTGTGGCTAATGCCTGTAATTCTACTCAGGAGGCTGAGATCTGAGGATCGCCAAAGCCAACCTGGGCAGGAAAGTCTGTAAGACTCTTATCTCTAACAAACTACTCAGAAAAAGCCAGAAGTGGTGCTGTGAATGCTAGCCTTGAGCGCAGATGCAGATAGGTTCAGGGACAGAGCCCAGGCCCTGAGTTCGAGCCCCAGGACTGGCAAAAAAAAAAAAAAGTTCCTGCTGAGAAGGGGGAGTCCCCAGAAAAAAAAAAAACTCATGAATCTTAGTTTAGGATAATCTGTATAAAGAGTTCACATAAATAAACCATAGTGTGTTGTTTATTACAAGTTAGATATCTCTGTTGCACATACATATACATATAGGACATAATACAGAACTTTAGAGCTCAAACATAGCTAACCTCATGTTCTAAATAGCACATTTTTCTCTTTAACACATAAGAACAGTGAAGGAAGCCGTGTTTGTGGCTCACACCTGTAATCCTAGCTATTCAGGAGGCTGAGATCTGAGGGTCTTTGGTTTAAAGTCAGCCTAGGCAGGAAAGTCCATGAGATTCTTATCTCCAAGTAACCACCAAAAGTGACGCTGGATGACGCTGGAAGCACCAGCCTTGAGTGACAAAGCTCCAGGCCAGTGCCCAGGCACTGAGTTCAAGCTCTAGTACCAGCACACAAAAAAAAGAATGAATGAATGAATGGATGGATGGATGGGGACTCATGTCTTAGCTCAGGCCATTCTTCTCTCTCAGATTGGTAATGATGTGGTTGTCTTGAGTGACTGGCCGGAGACTCTATACCAAGAGTCTCACAATCCCAAGAACAAGCCTTTTATCTGTTTCTACTCTACTGACAGCAACTACTTTGTCTCCTTAAACTGGATGGAACAGTTTGGAAAAGTACAGCAGGTAATAATATTTCATCCCCTTCCCTTCCCCTCGCCCTTCTCCATACACACACCTTTTATAATCCAATTTACCTGCACCTTACCAAAACTTTTTCAAATTGCAGAATGATGAGTAACTCTGAATTAACTCATTTTCATTAACTCATGTAAGATCATCTCCATATCCTGGTTTTACACAGTGATCCTTTTCACCTCCAGTTGTCACATCTACAGAATTCATATTCCCTATAACATAGACTGAAGGCCAAGAAAAGGGCCTTGAACCAATACTTCTATTACATACCAAATGCATAGTAATGCCCAGAGTCAAACTGTCCCATCTTTTTTTTTTCTTTTTTTGGACCTTCGCACTATCCTTGAGCTTTTTTGCTCAACTAGTGCTCTACCACTTTGAGCCACAGCTCTATTCTTCTGTTGGTTAACTGGAAATAAAGAGTCTCACAGACTTTCTTTCCAAGGGATGGCTTCAAAGCATGATCCTCAGACCTCAGCCTTTTGAATAGCTAGGATTATAGGCATGAGCTGCCAGTGTCCAGTCACCATCTTTCTTGAGAACAAAATCTAAGTATTTGGCTGGTTTTTGGGAGATGATCAGGTTTCCATTTCTCATTCTCTTCTAGGCAGTGCTCTGGATGCAGGATACAGATCCGAAGACAAAAGGAATGATTAAGAGGATGAAGTTTCACTTGGTGGATCCAGTGCCAGCCATTGAAGCCATGGTCCACACGGGTTCCTACCACATGTTAGTTGCTTACTGTGGTGACCCATACCTGCGGTTCTTTGGAGATCACCATCGAGCATTCACATCTCTGGGTATACAGTCCTGTCGTTTCATCATCAACTGTCTCTGCTATGATGCAGAATCAGAGATATTGTTGTCGGGCACTGTGGGGGCTGTGGTTACCTGGTTTATCTTGCCAAATGGCACGGGCCTCCAGATGGCTCAAACAATGCCCATTCCCAAACAAGAGCTTGTACAGGACCTTTCTTCAAATGGCCCCGAGGGATCCGTGCTGGCTCTGTGTGAAAATGTGGTGAGGGTCTTTACCCACCAGGGTCAGGGCCAGTTGAAAGAAGTAAAGACATTTACACTCGTAACCAGTGGGCACCCAGTCACTTGTTGTTTTACTTGCATCCCTAAAGGGATTTTTTATGCTGGAAATACTGCTGGAGAGGTTCACGCTTGGGGTTTAGACCAGAGTAACTTCCTCCATCATTTCCAAGCTCACTCTTCACCTATGAAATGTATCCAAAGCCGGCCAGAGAACCACACCTTACTAACAGCAGACAAAGAAGGTGTGTTAAGGGAGTGGGATTTTGCTTCTGGGAACCTAATGAGACAATTGAGTGTTGGTGAGCATCTGGAACAACTGCAATTTATTGATGATGCCACATTTTTCTGCCAGACTACATCGACCTTCTTGGTGAACCACCTGCCCTACTTTTACAGCCTCTTCAATGTCTGTGGTTCTACTACTCAGTGGATAAAGCGGGTCTACTGTGGGCCTAACTGGACTCGGATCCTGTGTGTCACTGAAGATGGGTTAATGCGCTTCTTGTCTCCAGTAACTGGGGAGCTCCTGATTGTCACCTGGCCTCTGCTTGTCACAGATAAGGCTGTGGCTTGGGCCTATGACTCAGACAGAGAGGAGCTCTTTGTAGCACTAGGAGGTCCAGATGTGATAGTGTTTGATACAACACATTCTCCCTGTGCACCCAAGTATTTCATGAGTCCTTCAGAAAACAACAGGGATAAAATAAACTGCCTGGCCTATGGGAGGTACTATTTGAGTAAGGTTCTAAAAGGAGTGATGTTCTCTGCCCATGAGAGTGGCATCGTGAGAGTCCTCTCCAACTGTACTTATGCCCGAATAGAAAAGACTCTTCACTCTGGGGCAGTGTTGGCATTGTCTACCCTAGATGGTGAAGCTGAAGATCCCTTACTCTGTTCCTATGGCAGAGACAACATTGTACACCTGACAGAAGTTGTGCTTCAAGAGATGAAGTTGATCTTACAGCCCATCAGCAAAATTCTCTGTGTTTACCCCCTGAAGTACTTGATACTCATGCCAGGTTCTGTAGGTGCCCTCACACAGAAATCCTGCTGGTGTCTCTGGCGCTTTCAAGACTTTCTAACAATGTCAGAAGTGAAACCAAGTTCTATGTCAAAAAGACTGCATACGTGTGCTATTACTTCCTTTGATGTCTGCCTTCCCTTGAAACTTTTTGTCACTGGAGCTGTGGATGGCTCAGTCCGGATCTGGGACTTTGCTGGTAAGCTTGTAACCGAGGTAGACTCAGCATTGCATTTTGGTCCACTCTGCTTTGCCAATGATCGGGGTGACCTGCTTTTGACATTCAACCACAGTATCTACATAATATCCTGCTTAAAATTGCTCCCTCAAAATAGACTGATTCAGCTAAGTAACCTAAACAATGCAGATGAAATACAAGAAATCCCTAAGCCCTTCCTTCCTAGCTTCTTCCTTTTGTTTGAAACACTGTATATACCCAAATTTGTCTATCTGAAAGATGGGATACAGGAATTAAAGGGGCTAGAGACCCTTGTTAACCAACGGGTCATTGCCTTTGATAATAATGTGCCCCATGTTGTAGGGGAAGAGACACGTACATCCCTTGTGTCTAAAGAGAAACCCAAATTACATTTTATGGAAATTGAGGCTACTGAATCGCCTATTCATAAACCTCAACATAAGCATCCCTATGTTCCTCCTCAATTACAGCTGACTGGCTGGGATGGACTGGACATCTACCACAAGTTAAAGAGCTTCTTTGGCCAACAACGTCAGTGGCCCTTTGCTCCTGATTGCTACATCCCCAACTCAGTGGTCCGTGCCAGACTCTGGCCGGATGGTACCCCAGTCTTCCTACACTATGATTTTTTTTCACCCTATCGAGATAAGTACAGAGATGTGACTGAACTCTTAAGATTGCAATCTGGCTCTGAAGAAAATCTGCAAGTTGCAAGGAAAAAACAGAAGGATGAATTCTGGGTAGAGAAAAGAACTTCTTTTACTGTCCTTGAAAGCTTGCTTGGCAAAAATCAGTTAGGAAGAAAACTTAGTGATGGGCTTGTAGCTAACATAATAGAAAGCATTCTCAACTTCACCACTTACTGTCCTGCACAGACATACAAGAAATATTTTGATATCATGGCACAAATTTTTGCCACTTACCAAATATTGCCAAGGTGGCGCACGGAGGTAGCATATCGTCTGCTGAAAGATACAACCCATGACAATCCAAAAATCTGTGAACTGGCCTGGGAGATGCTAGAGAAACTAGGCTTCATGAGCCATCTTTTTGCTGTCCCATTGGCTATGGGACTAATGGACAGTGATAAGAATGTACGGACTAAGGTTTTGTACCTTATGACAAGATGTACAGGCATTCAAACCAAAACCATGCTGATACGCCTGCTGAAGAACAAAGACATTCTCCAGAACCTACAGTAAGTTGAATGGTGATTATTTTATTTCAGTCTCTTCAATTTAACCCACCCATTCTCTTTCTCTCCCTTCCTTCCCCCCTTCCTCCCCTCCCCTCTCTCAGTTTAATTTTAATTTTTTTTTAGTTCTGGTCCTAGGGCTTAAACTCATGGCCTAGGTACTGTCCTTTTGCTTCTTTTGCTCAAAGTTAGTGCTGTATCACTTTGAGATACACTTCTGCTTTTCTGGTGGTTCATTGGAGGTAAGAATCTCACAGATTTGCCTAGCAGGCCTGGCTTTGAACTGTGATCTGCAGATCTCAGCCTCCTGAGTAGCTAGGATCACAGGAGTGAACCACCAGTGTCTGTCTGTCTTTCTTCCTTCCTTTCCTTCCTTCTTTCTTTCTTTCTTTCTTTCCTTCCTTCCTTCCTTTCCTCCCTCCCTTCCTCTCTCTTTCTTTCTTCTTAATTTTAATTCAATTATCATTAACTTTTCTCTTTGACTTTTGTAGCCAGGAAATGATCGGAGAAGTCTCTCTGGGGAAACTGCTTAGGCTCCAAGCTAATGATATCAAGAACCTGCTTACCCATGTGCAGGAGCGGCTGAATGAAAACCTGACCTTATCATACAAAGATGCACCACTTACTTTTATGGGAAAGGAGAATGAACTTGAGATCATTGCAGAACAAACATTCATACCTTTGTCAAAACCTGAAAAGATCACTGAACTGAAGAAAAAAAGGAAACTTATTCAAGAAAAGAGTAAAAAGAAGAGTATGTATGGGGAAGTACATGGATATATTAGGACATATTCGAAACATTAAACTTCATTAAGCCAGGGCTAATAAGGTCTAAGTATATAAAAGAACACCAATGGAAACAGAGAAGTCAAAGGATATTATTCACAAAAAGTAGACTTAAAAAGATCTGTACACAACAAAATACCAAGGTCTTTCTTTAATATATAGAAGAAAGAAAACAGGAATTTATAAATCCTAAATTTATAAATCTCTAATAGTCCACTGAGCCCGGTGCTGGTGGCTCATGCTTTTAATCCTAGCTACTCAGGAGGCTGAGACCTGAGGATTATGGTTAGAAACCAGCCTAGGCAGGACAGTCTGTGAGACTCTTAGTGCTGCTAAACTACCAAAAAACTGGAAACTAAAAGTGGAACTGTGTCTCAAAATGGTAAAGTGCTAGCTTTGAGCAGAAGAAGCTGGCCTTGAGTTCAAACCCAAGGTTTGGCACACACACACACAAAAAGAGTTCCTGAACTAGATTATAACTTAGATTATGACTTCTATGTGTTTTCTTTTTTCTTTTTTTTTGGGGGGGTCCAGTCGTGGGGCCTAAATTCTGGGCCTGGGCGCTGTCCCTCAGCTCTTCAGCTCAAGGCTAGCACTCTACCACTTGAGCCACAGTGCCACTTCCACCTTTTTTCTTATGTGGTGCTGAGGAATCGAACCCAGGGACTCGAGCATGCAAGGCAAGTGCTCTACCACTGAGCCACCTTCTCAGCCCCTCTATGTGTTTTCTTTTCTTTCTTTCTTTTTCTTTTTTTGCCCATCCTGGGGCTTGGACACTGTCCTTGAGCCTCTTTGTGCTCAAGGCTAGCACTCTACCACTTGAGCCACAGTGCCACTTCTGGCTTTTTTGAGTAGTTTATTGGAGATAAGAGTCCCACAGGGCCAGGCACTGGTGGCTCATGCCTGTAACCCTACCTACTCAGGAGGCTGAGATCCGAGGATCACAGTTCAAAGCCAGCCTAGGAAAGAAAATCTGTGAGACTCTTGTCTCCAATAAACCACCAGAAAACCAGAAGTGGTACTGTAGCTTAAGTGGTAGAGCACTAGCCTTGAGCTGAAGAGCTGAGCGACAGTGCCCCGGTGCCCAGAGTTCAAGCCCCACAACTGATTAAAAAAAAAAGTCTCACAGAAACTTTTCTGTCCAGGCTGGTTTCGAATTGTGAACCTCAGATCTCAGTTTCCTGAGTAGCTAGAATTACCCGGCTCTCTATTTGTTCTTACCAAATTTTTCTCTTCTAACATATCTGCAGTTAAAAAGGACCTGGCTCTTGCCAAGAAGCACAAAAGGCTACAACTAAAAAGACTTATTCCCATAACTGAGTCTTTAGAAGACAAAGAAGAAGAGGAAGGAGAGGAGGGAGAGGAGGAGAAGGAGGAGGAAAAAGAAGAAATGGCCGACAAGTTTGGTTTTGATTATAAGGAGGTTGTCTCAAAGCTACCCCAACTCCAGGAATATGCTGAAACAATGGAGGCTGATGAAGAACCTACAGTTGATGAGAAAGTGATTCACAAGGTAGGGAAAAAAGAACAGGCAGGCAAAATGGCAAAAAAATATTACCTATGAAAAGAGAAGAGAAAGAAGCTCCAAAGGATCTTTTGGAGGTCACTATAGAAGAGCCTAAGAAAGAAGTTATAGACATTCCTAAGCCAGTGAAACCTTATATAAAGAAACCTGGGGAAAAGGGTCATAGTTTAGCTGGAACCGCTGGGCACCAGAGTAGATCAGACATTAAACCTTGGCAAAAGAACATCCACTATTTTATCACCCCAAGTATAGAGAGTACCCAACCAACAATGTTAGTGGATGTGGCTAAGGAAGTATTGGACCAGACTGACAATATTTGATGGTTTACAGCTCAACTGGAATCTCGTCCCAGAAAGCCAAGTTTCACAAGAACTGGAGGAAGTAGAAAAAACACCTGTCAGAAAAGGAAAAGATGAAGATAAAATTGAATCAGAAGAACAAGAGTATAGCCACATGTTAAACAAAGATGAGGCATTTGCTCCAAAAGAAAAGGAAGTTATGGCACAAAAGAAAGTTGAGGCAAAAGAGAAACTGGCTGAGCAAAAGGGGGAAATAGTTGAAGAAAGGAAACGGACAAAGCCCGACAAATCACCAGTGCAAAAACAGAAGACACTAACCAAGACTATTAAAAAGCCAATGCATTTGGAAGAAGAAAAAGAAGAGGAAGAGGAGGAAGAAGCAGAAGCAGCATCAGAAGAAGTTCCTTCCAAAAGAAAATTAACTACAGAAGATCAGAAGTTAGTCCTAGAAGAAGAGAGACAAACTACAGAAGAGGAGATGCCACGTGGAAAGGAAGTGACCGGGAAAGAAGGGAAGCCAATCCAAGACAGAGAAATGTGGGAAAGGGAAAAGGTGGAGCCCTATGAGCAAGCTGTAAGGACAAGACTAAAGGAGTTGCTGCTCCCAAAGAAGAAATTGGTCCAGGAAAAGAAGAAGCTAGATGAAGAAGAACTGTCTGGGGAGGAGGAGAAACAAGTTGGAAAAAGGAAGAAAAGGTTCCTGTGGAGGGGAAAACCTGTGGAAGAAGGGGAAGAGAAAAAGGAAGAGGAGGAAGCAGAAGCAGAAGCAGCATCAGAAGAAGTTCCTTCCAAAAGAAAATTAACTACAGAAGATCAGAAGTTAGTCCTAGAAGAAGAGAGACAAGCTACAGAAGAGGAGATGCCACGTGGAAAGGAAGTGACCGGGAAAGAAGGGAAGCCATCCAAGACAGAGAAATGTGGGAAAGGGAAAAGGTGGAGCCCTATGAGCAAGCTGTAAGGACAAGACTAAAGGAGTTGCTGCTCCCAAAGAAGAAATTGGTCCAGGAAAAAAAGAAGCTAGATGAAGAAGAACTGTCTGGGGAGGAGGAGAAACAAGTTGGAAAAAGGAAGGGAAAACCTGTGGAAGAGAGGGAAGAGAAAGAGAAAGAGGCCTGGAAACTAGACATAGTGACTCAGTTTCATTTGTTCAGAAGAAAGGAGAGATTAACTGAGAAAAAGAGAAGACAAGCATTGGAAAGGGACAGGTTCGCAGAGCAAGAGAGTAAATTGGCCAAAGAAAAGAAATGGTTTGTAAAAGAAGAAAAAGAGGTCTATAAAAAGCCACAAATCCAAGAAAAGAAAAAACAAATCAGGGAATCAGATGAAGAGGAAAAACAAGACCAGAAAGAGGAGTGGGCACAGAAAGAGAAGGAAGAGGTCAAGGAGAAAAAATATTTAGCTCAGAAAAGAAAGAAAAAAGAGGAAAGAGCATTAGAAACACCAGAAGAGAAAGAAATTAGGAAAGAAAAGGAGAAAATGCCCCAGGAAGAGAAGAAATTGGCTTATGACATTAGGACCAAGGAGAGATATGTTTCCAAGGGGGAAGAAATAACTAAAGAGGAAAGACTTCCAGCAACAAGGAAACTGGACATGGAAAAAGGGATTCCTTCTGAAGAAAAAGGAAGTCTCAAAGAAAAAGATACAGAGATACAAAAGAAGCAACTGTCCAAGGCCAGTGACGGGATAATTATAGAAGAGAGACCATCCATGATGGAAGGGAGTGAAGCAGATAACCAGAGATGGGAAATTTTAAAGAAAAAGGACTTAACTGAAAAAAAAATGGAAGAGGCGCAGGAAGAGAGAAAACTAGAAGATGATAGTATGGCAATGAAAGAAAGAACACTGACTGATAAACATGACTTGGAAGAAGAACGAAGGCTGTCAGAGGAGGCCCAGGAAGGTTTACTTGATGAAGCTCAGATAAAGGCTAGGTTAAGGAAGATCGATGAGAAAGATCTGTTAAGGAAAAAGGCGCTAAAGGAGCTTCTGAAGAAGGAGAGTGACATAGCAGAGATCCAAGAAAAGTGGACACTAGATGAACTCACAAAGGAATCATCTGAGACCAGCAGAGAGGAAGGTTTGGCTAGGGAGAGGGAAGAGGAAAAGAGCTGGCTAGAAGAAGGGGAAGAGAGGGAAATTCTACCTGAGAAAGAGAAAAGGAGACACAGGATTAAGGAGAAAAAGATAAGCCTAAGTGAAGAGAGATTGGAGGAGAAGTTGGCTGAGTGGGAGGAGGAGGAACATAGTGAAGAGAGTTTGGCCCAAAAAAGAGAAAAGCATTTGGCCAGGAAAAGGAGAAGGGAAAAACAGCGTTTGGCCAGGAAAAAGAGAAGAGAGAAGCAGCGTTTAGCCAGGAAAAGGAGAAGGGAAAAGAGGCTGGCCCAAAAAAGGGAAAAGGAGGCGAGGATGGCCCAAAAAATGGAAAAGAAAAAGAAGTTGAAGGAGAGGCTGAGTGAAAAGGAGGGCCCAGATGAGGAAAAGGAACACTTTATCCACGAAGAGTGGGGGCGCCTGAGTAAGGAGGAGGTAGAGGAAGAGGAGCTCATGATTGAAGAAGAGGAAGAAGAGAGCCTGAGTAAAGAGGAAGAGGAGAGTCTTAGTGAGGAGGAGGAAGAGAGCCTGAGTGAGGAAGAGGAAGAGAGCCTGAGTGAGGAGGAAGAAAGTCTGAGTGAGGAGGAAGAGAGCCTGAGTGAGGAGGAGGAAGAGAGCCTGAGTGAGGAAGAGGAAGAGAGCCTGAGTGAGGAAGAGAGCCTGAGTGAGGAAGAGGAAGAGAGCCTGAGTGAGGAAGAGGAAGAGAGCCTGAGTGAGGAAGAAGAGAAAAAGAAGCTGACTGAGGAGGAAGAGGAAGCAAGTCTGAGTGAAGAGACTCTAAGCAAGGAGGAGGAAGAGAGCCTGAGTGAGAAAGAAGAGGAAAGTGAGGAAGGGGAAAGAGGGAGAAGAATGAGAAGAGGGAAGAGAGTGTTGAAATCAAAACTCTCAAAGAAAGAAATAGACACATCTAAGCCAGTGATGGAAGACGAGGGTCTTGCTGAAGAAAGGGAGGATAGGGCTAGAAAGAAAACGCTTCCTGAGGAAGATGAGGGTCTTGCTAGGGAAAGGGAGGGTAGGGCCAGAAGAAAAATGCTTCCTGAGGAAGATGAGGGTCTTGCTGAGGAAAGGGAGGGTAGGGCCAGAAGAAAAATAGTTCCTCAGGAAGATAAAGGTCTTGCTGCGGAAAGGGCGGGTATGGCTAGAAGGAAGATGCTTCCTGTGGGTCTTGTTAAGGAAAGGAAGGATACAACCAAAAGGGAAATGAGTCTTAAGGAATACAGATTGTCCCGTGTAGCAAGACTTATGGACAAGAAGAGGCCCTTCAAAATACCAACCCGAAAAGTGCCAAAAAAGCACTTAAGTTGGAAAGAAAGAATGGACAGAAAACTTCTTAGAGCACGCCCCAAGATAACTTCATTGGAAAGACTAGACCCTGTGCTCTTGGAAAAAATTAGCAATACAATTTTACAAGTCATGAAAATAGACTTAGTGACTCCAATCCCAGATCTCCTCAGGCCAGCACTCCATGTACCTGAAATCATCAGGGAACCCCAGAAACCTTTTAAAGAGAGACCAAAAGGTAAAAGGAGCAGTTGGTACCTCAGACATCATGATATCATAACGGAGGAAATGACAGACCAAATTCCAGGTGAAGCTTTAGCACCCCTTGCCCCTTCACTTGAAAAGCCACCAGACTTGGAAGCAAAGCTCTCAGATGAGGACTGGATTAACTGTGCCTTGACGAGGCTGGAAGCAGGTGAGCAGCTCTCCAGGGACAGTTTCTGTCGCCTGAGACAACTCCTCAGAGACTTCATTTCCAAGACAGACTGGAGTTGGATACAGCTCTTCACTCTGAAGGCCATTGGGAAACATCTCACACAGAATCTAGAGTTAAGTCATACTGATATGTCCCAACCCTGGAAGGATGGTCTACATCCAAGGCTCCCTCCAGTTAGAAGACAAGAAAAAGAGAGCCAGCCAGAACCAATACCTGAACCAATGTTAGCACCAGACACTAAGACTCAAACCCCAAAGGTTCTCCGGTGGCATCTCTTGGATGAGTCCTTCAGGGAGAAGCAGGTACCACAGCTAGCCAGCACAAGAAAAGACACTGAAGAGTTTTATCCAAGCAGAAGGGATGTTCCCACTGTTGCCAATCCCTTTGTGGGTAAAGATTCCCTGGCTTTGATGTTCTCGAAGGACTTCCCAGCCTTTAAGAGAGCAGAGTTCCCTACATTTTCCAAGACAAAGAGAAAAGCTGTACCTTTCCCTCTGCCAGCATTACCATCAATTACCGAAAGGATCACAGACCCAAAGGCTAGAGCCTGGCATCTTCTAGGAGAACCTTATAGGAGTACAAGAATAGAACAGTTGTCCAATATCAAACAAATGGAGATGCGACGCTTCTATCCTGTCAAAAAAGACTTCACAGATGCCTACACTTCTGTAGACAGACAAACCCTGGCACTAATGTTTCAGAAGGATCTCACAGCTTTTAAGGTTAAGGGCAGGCCTCCCAAATTGCCCAGGTTGGTGAAGAAGAAACAGCCCATCTCAAGAACAAAAGAAGAGGTACCTCTGTGGGAGACATTCATGGCACTGTACTATGTTTTGCGGATGCTGCAGCAGCGTTATGGCAAAGACACAGCTGTGTGGATGGAACAGTTCTACCATGTCATGGACATGTATCAGCTTAAGTCTCCAGGAATCCAGAGGCTGCTACAGGAGTTGCTTCTGAGAGAGAAAACTCAATCCCAAGAAGTCATCAGCGAAGAGACCCTGAAGGCTGTGGAGGGAGTACCTGGGGAGCGGTTGTTCTACTGCCTGATTTGTGGTGGTTCTCATTCCCCCTCAGGTTCCCTGAGGTTCCACCATGTGATACCACTCTCTGGGAAAAACATGGTGGAAACTTTTGAACCCATGGGTATTGCCCAGTATGGATTCCTAGAACTTGCCTGGAAACGCCTACCACAAGTCAGTCCTGACTGCAGCACCATCATGCCTCCAATTCTCTGATTTGGCCTAATAGTAAGACTTTTAAGATCCTGCTGGAAAATGGTCCTGAGCCAAAGGTCATAAGACTCCTTACTTGTTCCCCACTGAAAGATGAGTCTAAACAAGGCGCCATCTTTATTCAACTCCATAAATCACTGTACTAAATAAAATGGCATTTTCTCATTTATAACAAATACTCTGGTTTCTTTTCTTCCCTAAGCTGTGAATTCCCTATAAACTTGCCCAGAGGTAAGAGGTACCCTTTGTTCCAAGAAGAACAAGGTTTTGTTGTGTTTTGTTTTTCTTTTCTAATGGAACAAATCCTTTGGAGGAAAGAGGCCAGTATATGATCACTTTCTGATTAAGTGTGTATGTATATATATTGCATGTTCAAAACATAACACTTTAAAAAATAAACAAATTGTCTTTTAAATTAGTTAAGAGAAAATAAATATCAAGTCATATCTCCCATATAGCTGGGATTACAGATATGCACCACCATATCTAGCTTGTTTGTTGATGGATGAGGGTTGGAGGGTCTTGCTAATTTCTTTTCCCCAAGCTAGCCTTGAACCTTCTGAAATAGGGATACTGGGTGTAACTGGTGCCATCTTGGCTTCTTGGTGGATGAAGGTGAGAGTCACAGCTCCCTGCAACTCTACCCTCTGACCATGACCATATTTAGGGCCCAACCAGCTCAGCCACCATTTTGCACCATGCTTCATGTCTTCTGATGCTTCGGTCATCATGCTATCCCTCTTCAGCTCTCCAATGGAATTGATCTTGTTTGTTGAGACTGTTTTTCTGCTCTCTACTACCCTCATAGCTCGGTTTCCTAACAGTATTAAGTATAACCAAGGCTGCAAATGTTTCGGGGACATGTATCCACTTGAAGTTGCTGGCTTTCTAATAAAGACTCCTGATTTGACCTCTCAAAATGTGCCTTCTCTGAATCTTGGAATCAAATTCCTGTGAAACACTTCATCCTCCTGATCATCTCTCAAGCAGCTGGATGTGAACCACAATGTCCTGCTCCGGATAAGCAATTCTTGGTGATTTGGGGGAGGTTTTATAGCACCTTGGATATGTTAGTCCAATGCTTTCTGGTCCTTACTGCTTCTTTTTTTTCCTTCAGGTGTCAGTACTGGAGTTGAACTCAGAGCCTTGCACTTGCTAGGCAGGCATACTACCACTTGATCCACTCCTCTAATCCTTTCTGCTTTATTGATTTTTTAAAAGTTTTGGAGTATTTGCAGATGTGTGTGTGTGTGTGTGTGTGTGTGTGTGTGTGTGTGTGTGTGTGTGGAGAGAGAGAGACAGACAGACTTGGGGATGATAGCCAAGTCTAAACAGCCTGAAGATACTTTGTCACAACAGTTATGTGACATATAAGGATGTCTTGGTCTACGACAGGCCACATATAGGACAGTGGTCATGAAAACTTTCCAAGTATATATTATGATAATAGCACAATAATGAAATAAGGATACTGGATCTAATCAGTGTCTTCTGGGCCATGTGGTGGATGATAGGGTATTGGGTTTAACTAGTACCATCTTGTCTTCATAGAAGAGGCAGGAAGTTCTACCTCCAGGTAATGGGCATGCCTGAATTCCTAGAGACTGGGGCAGGGACATGGAGGATAGGTTACTGAATCTGTCAGTCTTGTGCCTTGAACTGGAGATCACTCTTGAGTGTCCTGTAATCCTGCCCCCTGACATCATATTTAGGTCCAGACCAGCTCAGGTACCATATGCCATGCCTTATGTTCCCATATCACCTGTCTCCTGGCTCGCCTCGGTCATCATGGCATCCCACTTCAGCTCTCCATTGGGGTTGATCTAGTTTGTTGGTATTGTTTTTCTGCTCTTTCTTTCCTCTCCTGCTCACACAGCTCAGTGTTTTGACAGTATTAAGTGTATTCAAGGGACTATAGGTCTTTGTGACAACAGTCCACCTGCAGCCACCAGTTCTCCAATAAAGACTCCTAATTGGATGACTTCTCAAAATGTGGCTTCTCTGTTTCTTGCAACGGAGTTCCTGCAATTTTGGAAGGCTCTCAGAAGGATAAATATCTTTTCCAATATACAGGGTGTGGAATAGAATGGCAATCAAATCATTTTCCTACATTTATTAGATCAAGTGTTTTTCTGTGGTATAAGTTTAAAAATAACTGGTAGTGCTGGAAGGCTTTTTTGTAAAACATAAAACATTTCTACATTCCTATAAATAAACACAAATATTCTGTTACAATAAAATACATTAGAAATTCTCTGAACATGAATATTTGAACTGAAAAAATTATATTCTGAGGGGTTTTCATATGTACAAAAGCCTTAGGAGAAATGAACCATATTTTAAAAATTTTCCATATTCTTTGTATTCAAATTGTTTCTCAGCATATAAATATGCTGATGATCCACACATTATCTAATGCCTCTTCTCACAATGCTTTCATTCATGTTTTTCTCTAGCATGGATTCTTAGATGTACTTTAAGACTTGAACTATGTCTAAAGAACTTTCCACATTTATTACATGCAAATGGCTTCTCACTACTGTGAATAGTCTGATGTCGAGTAAGACGTCCATAGACACTAAAGGCCTTCCCGCATTCCTTGCATTCATAGGGCTTTTCACCTGTATGAATTCTCTGATGTACCTTCAGCTGGTGGCCACTCTTAAAAGCTTTCCTGCACTCTTTACATTCATAGGGTTTCTCCCCAGTGTGAAGTTTATGATGCATTCTAAGGCTTTCAACATGACTAAAGGCCTTCCAACATTCCTTACATTCATAGGGTTTCTCACCAGTGTGAATCCTCTCATGTCTAAGGAGATCTGATGTACAACCAAAAGCCTTTCCACATTCTTTACATTTATAGGGCTTCTCACCAGTATGAATTTTCTGGTGCATCCTAAGGCTACCACCATGAATATAAGCCTTTCCGCATTCTGTACATTTATAGGGCTTCTCACCAGTATGAATCCTCTCATGTTGAATAAGGGTTGAGGCACGAATAAAGGCCTTCCCACATTCATTACATTCATAGGGTTTGACACCAGTGTGCATTCTCTGATGGGGAATAAGCTGATAGACACGACTGAAGGTCATCCCACATTCTTCACATTCGTAGGGCTTCTTGCCGGTGTGAATTCTCTCATGTTGAACAAGATTTGAGGCAGAACTAAAGGCCTTCCAACATTCTTTACATTTATAGGGTTTTTCACCAGTATGAATTCTATGATGTACTGTAAGATCTATACCACGACTAAAGGTCATCCCACATTTGTGGCATTCATATGGCTTCTCGCCAGTATGAATTCTGTCATGTTGCACCAGGTGAGAGGCTTGGCTAAAGGCCTTCCCACAAGTCTTACATTGGTAGGGTTTCTCCCCAGTATGGATTCTCTGATGCATTTTAAGTTTTCCACCTCTACTAAAGGCCTTCCCACATTCATGACATACATAGGATTTCTCTCCACTATGAACTTTTCCATGTTGAGTCAGGTATGAGACACGACTAAAGGCCTTCCCACATTCTTCACACTGATAGGGTCTCTCACCTGTATGGATTCTTTGATGAACTCTAAGGTCTATATTGCGACTGAATGTCATCCCACATTCTTCACATTTATAGGGCTTTTCACCAGTATGAATTTTTTGATGTTGCCGAAGGTTGGATGCACGATTAAAGGCTTTTCCACATTGACTACATTCATAGGGTTTCTCACCAGTATGAATTCTCCGATGTACTATGAGGTTTGTAGGACGAGTAAAGGACTTCCCACATTTGTCACATTCATAAGCCTTCTCACTACTATCAAATCTTTGCTGTAGAGTGACAGAGGAATGTATTCTATAAATGTCAACTTTTCCAAGGTTGATATTTTCACACGCAGGCTTGAATTCTAAAAGAAGTAATAAAAACCTTTTGTTTTATTGGATGCCAAAAATAAATGCTCTAAAGATTTTTTGTTGTTGTTGTTGATTGTGGGGCTTTAACTCACAGACAAGGCATTGTCCCTGAGCCTTTTTGTTCTCAAGGCTACCACTCTACACAGCACCACTTCTGTTTGAGTGGTTACTTTGGAGATAAGAGTTTTATGGGAAATTTTCTGCCCAGGCTTGCTTACAGGCATGAGCCACTGGTGCCCGGCTTAGAACGTTTTTTTTAAGTGTATAATTTTATTGTTATTATTAAGGTGTTATACTTACCATTTCGTAAGTCAGGTAATGAGTACATTTCTTTCTGGACAATGTGACCCCTTCCTTTGCTTTCTGAGCTTCCTTCACCCATTTCTTTTCTTTCTTTTTTTTTTTTTTGGTCAGTCTTGGGGCTTGAACTCTGGGTCTAGGTGCTGTCCCTCAGCTCTTCAGCTCAAGGCGAGCACTCTACCACTTGAGCCACAGTGCCACTTCCGGTTTTGTGGTTTATTGGAAATAAGAGTCTCACGGACTTTACTTTTCCTGCCCAGGCTGGCTTTGAACTACGATCCTCAGATCCCAGCCTCCTGAGTAGCTAAGATTATAGGCGTGAGCCATTGGTGCCTGGCTTCCTTCACCCATTTCTGCCCACAAGTTGCATAATTTATTTTCCACATAGTATATACTAAATGCTCTGACTGCATTTTTCACCCTTTCTCCCGCTCCATTTCTACTCTCCTCCTTGCCACCTCTCAAAAGATAGAAAGACCAACAACAACAACAAAAAAACACAAAGTAAAAACAAACACCACCAACAAACAGAAAACTCCCATGTTTGCATTTTACAGATTCTTTTCTAATAATTTAAATGTTCCCCACTAGAAATGAACATTTGTAAGAACTCTAAAATCATCTGTACTTTATACTTGTTACTGTCAAAATGACTCCACAACTCTCATTTATTACTTTGCCACAGTGATAAAATGGGTGACTTCCTGTATTAGCTACCATGTGCAATGTAAATAAACATATTAAGAATTAAGATCAACTATTAATACTTGACTTCCCATTATATTTCTCCTTTTTTTTTTTCAGTC